GCGGGCCTTTCCCCCCCCCCCCCCCGCCTTGGTTCACTGGACGTGTCCCTGCCCACAGTCTGGGGCTGGTTCGAGGCTGGGGTGGAGCGTAGTGCTAAGACCCTGTTGGCGGTCCTTTCTCTCTCTGTCCGTCTCTCACTCATGGAAGCAATTTAAAAAAAAAAATAGATGGGACCAGCAGTTGGAGTAATGGCTATGTCACTGGACTCCCACAGAGTTGACCACGGTTTGAGTCCCGGACCTGGTGCTTAAACTCACACCGGGCACATGTACGTGCATGCCCAGGATCCCAAGAGGAGAATGGAGGAGAAGGGATTGCGGCGTGGCCATCCCTCCTGGGGGGTGATTTCTCACTTTCTGTCTCTCTGTCTCTCTCTGTCGTTCTGGCAAGCGCACGTGACCTATAGCAAAAGCCTCTCCAAGAAAAAAAAAAAAGAAAGAAAAGGCTCCCAGGCCTGACGGGTTGTGGCGATGTCCTTGAGGAGGGGCTGGGGCTGGCAGCCTGGGTGCCCCAGCCCTGTGTGTCTCCTCTGTAGCCTCACATCGCTCTTCTGGGCCCTGGCATTTACCCAAGGCACTTGAGTTTTCCCTTATTAATTAATTTGTGGGTGGAAAGCGGCCACCGAATCACTGTATAAACAGTGGCGCGGGCTGGTAATCACCGTCATTATGAGGCTGCCGGTTCCTCTGCTGCACGCGTCCTGAGTCATCACCATCCCAGCTTTTCCCTTTCGGAATTCACTGCTCTGAAAAGCAGGGGGCAGGGCGTTAGAAAGCTCTGGCTGCAGGGCTGGCAAGGTCATCGCGGCCCCCTGGCCTTGGATCAACTGCTGCCAGGGCTGTGCTGGGGCAGTGTGGGCACACCCCGCCCATTCTATCTTGAGACCTGCCTTTGTCCCCACTTGGGTACTCTGAGTTGGTGCAAAGGGCACAGATAGTGATATCAGACAGACCAGAGTTCAAATCCCAGCAGCGTCCGCCAGCAGCCACAATCCCTGGCCAGGCAGTAAATCACCTCTCTCTGAGTCTCAGATTTCCTATCAGTAAAATGGGACCAAGGAGCACCCCTATGGGGCACCGAGGCCAGGTGCAAAGTACCTGCGGGTGCCTGGCACGGGGAGTTGTGAGAGTGGACGCCGCGGGCCAGACTGTGGGCGAGCCTGAGCTGGCAGGAGTGCGGTGGGGCAGTTTGCTCCAGACTCTTCCTCCTCGCCCACAGTCCTTCAGCTTCCTTCATGTGGCTGCTGCCCCACCCTGCCTGGGGGAGCTATGTACTCACTCACTCATTCAGTTTTTACG